ATCCGAATCAGAAGTCTTCCTACTTTTTCTAGGAGGACTCAAATCCGAATCAGAGATCTTCTTACTTTTTTTAAGTACATTCAAATCAGAATCAGGAATTTTAGATTCTTTTTCCTTTTCACGCGATATAACAGAATCATTCTGTTTAAATCGCAATTCTCCGTCTTCATTATCGGCTATAATTTTCCATTTTCTTTTATCAGAAAAATCAACTGGTCCACGTTCATCAATTATTCCAGCTATTTGAGGCGCATCTTCTCCATTGATGAATATATCAAATTCACCATCTTCAATTGGCCTAAGTTTATTTAGGTCAATATCATCATCAATGATCTTAACTCTGTAAAACATAAAAATTATCTAATTATAGAATTAAATATAAAGTATAAAGTCTTTGAATGATATTACAGATCAGAAAATTCATTTTTTCAGTAAACAAACTTTGGTGCATCTAGTGCGTTTAGATTTTATGTATTTTTATCCAATATATTATTTCTGTAAAATCAGTGAACTTTATTTAAAACTTAATAAATTATTCGGTATACGTTTATAAATTAGTGAATACTTTTTAATGAGTAATGAAATAATGTATTTTATACTTAAAATAAAACAGAAAACTAGTTGCTATTGTTGCTGGAATCATTGAAATGGGTTAGGAAAAATGTAAACTTACGTTTTTGGACCAATTTTTAGTTTCTTTTTCTTTTTTTTTTCTTCTCCATGTCCAGAAGATAAATATTTCTTCAAATATTCCTTCTGACTTATAGATTTATCCATAATAAAATGAATTATTATAAAATTATAATACCTAACCACAAACGTATCTATTACTTGAAACGATTCGTGGACTAACAGATGTAGCTTCAGTATAGAATTCTACGTTAGGTCAAAGAGTATAGAAGTGCATAGAAGCTCACAAGTCCACTTTCCGAGTAACTAAAATTATCTTAGTTAGTACCGGGACCACTAGTGGGCGAAAGTAGGTGCTTATACTCGGTGACGGTATAATACTATCAAAGAACGCAGTGATGAATAAAAAAATTCCTAATCAAATTTGTAACTATCGTTTTAAATATAAAATCTTACTTACTGGCTATCCAAAATAAATGTTCTATTTTAATTTCATTACAGTATATAAATATAGTACACATATAAGTAATATTTCAATGTTTATCAATTGTTATACCATTTATTATTACAAAACATAACTTATGCATCTTAGAAATACACACTTGTCAAATTTATTTTATTCTGAATGACCAAGTTTTTTATTGTACTGTTTTATGCACACATTTACGCGCGCGCGTGCGGAGATCATAGAAAATTAATTTATTATTAATACTGACGAAGTCCTCCACGTCTAATAGCAGGTTGCATCATTCTATTAGGTGGCGTTATAGATATATCCAAATAATCACCTATAGTAAACCTGTAATTACATTGCGGATACAATGAATATTAAAATTCTATCGACATTTTTGAAATTTTATTCCACTAACAAAAAAAGACTTAATAATAAATATATTATTAACAATATTGTATAATCATTCTTAGCATATAAATTGATTGTTATTCTTTAATTGCATTTAAATATATAATCAAGTAATTAATACACACCGTGCTTGTGCAAGTGTTTTATTATCATCAGCTCCTTTCTGACCTGAACATGTAACACCAATCTCCCTCATTCTATAACCAGAATTTCTTAACTCTGGAGTAACTAAAGAAAAATCAAAATATGTTCCTTTACTCCGTGCATCCGGATTAACTTCCTTAACAAGACCGGTAATTTCTCGTAGAGTAGCATCCATCCTTTTGTCAAATATAAAATATAAATTATACAAAGTAATTTATACAAAATATACACAAATACAAGTAATAAGAGTTAGTACGAAGCATATATTTTTGCAAAGAAACTAAATGATTCAGATGAATCAGATATAAATGTTAGAATATATTTATCATCTTAATTTTACCAAGTATATATCTGAAGTTCATTGGATGGTACATTTCCCCTACTGTATTCCATGATATTATGATGTCGTCCAGTATTGCAAAAGACTCTGAGTAGGAGCGGACATGTCTGAAAAAATAAATAATAAAACCAAATATAACTTAAAATTCATTCAGATTACAAAGATTAATTTAGAAGGCAAAGGTTATGAAATTTATCTTTTAAAAATATTAAATTAATATTTTTTATAATCTTTAGATTTAGGTTATATCTAAGAGAAAGAAGCATAACTTTATAACCTCATACAACTTCAAAATCATTCAGATTATAAGAAACGATTTAGAAATCAGAGATTAATAAATTTATGTTAAAAATATTAAAAATGTATTCATAAAAACATTTATATATATAAATATGATCTCGATAATATATTTATTGTTTACCTTTTCTCGATCCACTGGCTTTTCAGGAAGTTGTTTTTCGTCGACCACCATGGATTCTAAAGCTGATGCCATATTTATTAAATTATTTTATAAAATAAAAATACTTATAACACACATACACATTTGTTAATTAATAAAATAATTTCTTTAAATGCGTCAACAAACAAATTATATTCTAGTTCACTGACATTGACAAAGATGGCAGTAATGATGATCAATCTATTTCTTATATCGAATCAGAGCTCGTTTCTTATTTCTCGAAAAATACAATATAACGTGATTAGTCATTCAAATTTAATTTTTAAACAAGAATTTGTTAATAATATTTAAATTAACTATTTATATATTTATAAATTATTTATAAAATAATTTATGAATAGCGACAATAACCTTACAACTGGTTGTTGTTCCCTTATGCATTATTATATTAAATATGCAAAAAAACCAAATATTTTTCGGTCAGAATGAACGACATAGTATACAAACAGATGTACCTGATCAGAAAATCAATCGAAAGATCACGAAAGACACCAAAATTCACATAAAAATGAATAAATTTCTACTGCTTTCTTGTCTAATTAATATAATAAATGCAAAATTAATTTAATAATTCAAACCTTTTTCCTGAAAATATCTTATTCCCATGACCAAAGTATACGACATTAGATAAAATCAAAAGATGAACGTCTGCGTAGCTTTTTTACTTTTATTGAAATACAATTTTAAAATGTAACGAGTTTCTTCCTTATTTTCACTCAATATAAAGACGCAATAATATTTAAATGAAAAAATTAATATCATCGCTTTTTTTAATTATACTATGAAATATCATTTTTACAACATTAATTTTTAAAATTGGATCACATTATTATAACCGAAATTATGCGACATTAAAGCAATCTAATGAACAAATCAGCGAAAACTTTTTCAATAGTAGCATATTTATTAAAAATAGCTGGGAAGCCAACGTTACTTTATTTACGATCAACTTTTTGCCCAAAAATGTATCACAATCTATTTACTAAAATCTTGTCACATTTAACATATTCAAAAATATATCTTGTTTATTAACAGTTGACAATGAGGGAAGGGTGTATTTACCCAATATATGCACTATATAATGAACTTATAAAAAAATAAAGGTGGCTGTTATCTTGATATAAAATAAAGTAAAAGTTAAAAGAATTATTAACATCGTTTAAAAGAAAAAAATTGTTTATTTTTATTAAAGAAATTATTTATTATACTCTTAAGATTAAAAAAGGAATAATTTATACTAGTAATCGATAGTCCCACAACAATAACAATATTAATATCTTCTTTAAAATCCATACAATTTTTTTAAATAATAATAAATTTTTACGTAAGCAACTAGAACTTTTTACACATTAAAAATAAGGATATATGCCATAAATCGTAAGAAAATAGCAAAGTTCAAAGCTGGTAATAATATAGTTTTACATAGTATATGATAAATTAATAATTTGTTTTATGTCATTCATATATTTTGGAAAATAACATATTTTATTTGTTCAAAAAAAGATACTTCTGAAAATAATATATTTCCCTTATATTCAACGAATAAT